GCCGGAATGCAGGGATGGGTCAGGCCAGGTGGGGGTATCAAATCGGTGGGGGCTCATACTGTCTCCCTAGCTACCAAGGAGTATGGGCCCCGCCCCTTGGGTGCCCTTTAGGCTCCAATTCCGACCAAGGTGATAGGCTAGTTCAAATATCTACTATAGGGTAAATTGTAATTCAATTGGTCACTTATGTGTGACCTAGCAGGACTGTGCAGCTTTCTCTGTGTTACAATCTCATTGGTCACCTGTGCATGGCCAGGCCCAACCACATGGCCTTTGCCCTTAAAAACTAGTCTGTAAAGAAGAGAGGGGTCGCCTCTTTGCAAGAGACGGCCCTGGCCGGTCAGTTTGATTCTCAAAGCTTGGCGCGAAATAAAGCTTTGCTTGACCTTCGCTTTGTATCAGTCTCGCTCCTTTGACCATGGACCCAACAGTCCTCAGCACTTGAGCCATGCCCAGCTGATGGTCACAACATTCCTGGCCGAGCTCCTCAAAGTGTGGTCAGCTAACTTCTTGCCATCCCTGGGGCTTATCAAATGCAGACTGCCTTATACACTTCAGGCACACAGAATAAGAACCTCTGTGATCAGGGGCGCCTGGGTGGCTCAGTGGGTTAAGCCGCTGCCTTTGGCTCAGGTCATGATCTCAGGGTCCTGGGATCGAGTCCCGCATCGGGCTCTCTGCTCAGCGGGGAGATTGCTTCCCTTCCTCTCTCTCTGCCTGCCTCTCTGCCTGCTTGTGATCTCTCTCTGTCAAATAAATAAATAAAATCTTAAAAAAAAAAAAAAAAAGAACCTCTGTGATCAGCCTGGGGCTGTGTTTTATCAAGCTCCCCAGTGAAACTTGGAGAATCATACTAAGGAAGCAGCCCTGCTGATCCACAAATTGCTCCAGGAAGGATTGTTTTCAAAATAAAAGTGGGAATTTAAAGGCCCTTAGAAGAGAAAAGCATGGAAGACTGAGAAGACCAACAGGCAAGGAGAGAGAAGAAAGGAAGGAAGAGGGCAAAGTGGTAGAAATGAAAAGAGTGATATAATCTGATCTCATACTTTGGGGGTGCCAACCCTAGAAGATCTGGAAGATTCCCTCCTCTCCTCCATTCCGGTCCAACCAAGTCTGCTGGGTTACTTATGGAGAGTATGCCTTTGGGAAATTTCCTCTAAAATACAGCTGCTGGTGGTGGCACTTAGAGTCTGACTGCCCAGCTGCCTCAGTTGGTCTGACAGAGGTGACACCTTGAGAATCCACACCTGGCCAAACTCCCAGTATTCTTTCCCAGGTTCAAAACTTCTAGGACCAGAAAGCCAGGACCTAATGGATCTAGTGGTTGACTGAACCTTGTATCTACCCTTAAACCAGGACAGGAATACAAGCAGACAAGGAGCGATAGCATATCCAATTCAGAATCACCATTGTACTTGCCATATAAATAGAATTTCTTGTCTTCTTTCTTTCTCCCTCCCCCGACCCAGTCGCACCATGGGCGTAAGCATTTCCTCTCCCCTCATATATTTCTATTTGCACATATGGTACAGGGTGACAGCCCACTGATAGTAGTTTAATATTACAGACTCACAGAACGAGAAAATACTGTAGCTGACAGCAGGCACCCACCATACAACCTTGTTACACAGTCCGACCATCTACTTTCATCAGCACTTACCTGAGTGGTGGTCCTTATTGATCTTCTTTGCAGCTGCTTATGGCCAAGCAGCCCTGAGCCATGCCATTTATGCAGAATTTTAGTTTACTGCATTGAGAACAAACAAAACTGCTGCTCTTTCTGCTTACCTAGACTTAGGAGGCTTTGAGATGTGTTCAGAAGCAAGAGGGAATTGGAGCCATTGGTTTAATAAAAACAACTGAGGATCACCAATGGGTCCAAATTCCATTCAACTGAGGACATTTGCATCTGATTTGTGATGACCTAGAATAACACAGATCTGTGGGTTTTGATTGCTCTCTTCCAAATGATGCCAGAAAAAGCAAAAACAAAAACAGAAACAACGGCTGCTGCCTTGGTGAACCACAAATCTCAATGACACTCCGCACACCTGGGCTATTGTTAAAGATTAGCTCATAAACGTAGCAATAGCCACTAGCCGCAATTTCTAAGTGATTCTCTTGTAAAGAGAACAAATTTATCTTTCCCTTTTTGTTGTTTTTTGCTTTGCTTCCTTAACCCACACACACATACACAAAAATTAGTTATTGTGAACAATCAAGAAAGAAATGGAAATTCAGGGTTATTGCTCTAATAAGACTACCTTTGCATTTTGAATCATTACTGATGTGTCCTGTTTTGCAGAACTGACATAAGTACCCAGATAAATGTTTCTTATTTATCAAACACTCTCAGTAAATCTCACCATGTCTGTCAAACTTTCGGGCGTGTTACTTTTAGTCAGCAGGCTTAGAAACATGCAGCTTCACCCCAACACGTAATCAGGCAACAAAAGCTAGAGATGGGGCAGAAACATTCAGAAAAGTCCTCCTGAGGACAATCGCAGATCCTGGCACTCTGTTGATTGATATCTGGCTCACCTTAAGGGTGTTTGTGAACCAGTAGGAAATAAATTTCTGGAGAAGGCCACGGACTTGAAGACGTTTGTTTGAGTACTTAATAATAAATGGTTTCCAGTTGATAGGAAAATATTGAAATGTGACTTATATATATGAAACTGATTCAAATTTGATAAACATGTCCCCAAAGGAAATTGCTGGGTTTATTAAAAGCCTAGGGAGGCTAAACAGAATTGCAGTTGTCTTACCCTATAGTCCTTGCTGAGGTGGAGAAAGCGCTCCCCAGTCCACCTTGTAACCAAGCAAGGAGGAAGGTCACTCATAAGGACAGAGCAGGGCTATCCTCGGGCTGAGTTAAAAGCGGCTATCAACTGCTGAGATGCCCCGTGCAAGCTGTCATCCACAAAGGAAGTGTCGCTGCCTTGCTGGTAAAATGTGATGTGTTGATGACTGTTATATTACATCTAAAATCCCATTTACTAGTAATAGAAAAGTTCAGTTAAGAGTTTTGCCTTATGTCTCCTGGTACTTGATAGAGCGTTGTGTGATATTGCCAATTTTCGCTTCAGGCGTATTCACATGCAACAGTGAAGACTTCACAAGAATTTGCACATTTGATCCAGGGTGAAATTATGCCATTTTCATAGCAAATCAACTTTTCTTTGGCAGCAAAATGATAGGTACTTTTGCACCCAGAGAAATGTCTTTGTTTTCAAAGAATTTGAGAAAATTAAAAAAAAAAGAAAGAAAAAAAAAAAAACGAAGTTCTTTGTCTATGGGGATTGTGATCCAGGTGTTCTCAGCAGAGGCCCAGCAGGTAAGAATCCTGTTGTCCTGCTTTCTGACCTGGAGCACTTCCTTAACCTTTCTTATTTTGACTTTCTTCTTAAAAAAAAAAAAAAGGAAAGAAAGAAAGAAAGAAAAAGAAAAATGGGGGTCACATGCAATCTTTCTCTCCTGTGTGTCACAGGCCGTTCTGGAATGCCTTCCCATCTCTAACGTTGTACAACAGTGTCTGCAAAAGGGCAAATTGCTGTGGATGTAACGTGAAATTTCACCTCAATGTGCTCTCCTTTTAGTGGTGTTGGAAGCAGCAGGAATTTACTCATGCAGCCCTACTGATTTGCAGACTGGGAGTAAATACTAGGCCTTTTGCAGCGATAACCAAGAGCCCCCCTTCAGTAGACATGATCTACTGCATCCCATGATGATGGTGGATTGAGGAGTGAGTCAGCTGAGCCATTCTGTACACACCTAGCCAGGTTGCAATTTATACTCAGACAGAGCTGTGAGTGGCTTTCAGAGGAAGAGAGAGAAGAACAGTTCTCTGGAAATTTTCGACCAGGATCAGAAACCAAACTCTGCTTTGTCACTGCTATTTAAAACACCACCACCACCACCAACAACAACAACAGATTCTTTCTCCATTGCAGGAAGAAATTAACAGATAGGTTCTGGGGGGAGGGGGGGAGGGAGAGGGTGGGGGGCTTATGGACATTGGGGAGGGTATGTGTTATGGTAAGTGCTGTAAAGTGTGTAAACCTGATGATTCACAGACCTGTACCCATGGGTCTAATGATACCTTATATGTTAATTTAAAAAAATTTAAAAAAACAACAACAACAGATAGGTTTTTCTCTTCTTTTCCTATAGTGTTCCTTTCTAAGATTGCTAAGGAGCTCCCTTAACTCCTTACGTGACTTTTCTTTTTAACAGTGCATAGATCCTTTCTCTAAATTCTGTGTTGAGGACACAGTCTATGACTCTTGCTTGCTGAGCTTAGTCTGGAATTACCCAGCTTTGCTTTTGGAAACAACATGTTCTGTAGAGTCCTGCATTGCTACTACAGGCCAAACTGAAGGGAAATTGGAGGAGGAAAAATTGATTCTTGTGGTATTTCATTTTTATTCAGTAAATAAAAGATTTTAACATGAAGGCTTGGAAAATATGGTGGCCTAACCAGGAAAATGTCGGTTTAGGTCAAATTTAGTGTTAGGTGGTCAAACAGTCTATTTTATTATTGAATTACAGACACACACACACACACACTACTTGCCTCCACTAAATTACATATATAAATACATACAATGTATTTATAACAAGCAAATATAAATTACACATGTGTTTATGTGTGTGTGTGTGTGTGTGTGTGTAAATATATATATACAAAATGTTACTTGCCTCTGCTAAATTATTTTTCAATAATAATAGTAGTTTCCTGGTTTTGTCTGGAAGAAAATAGATCTAAGATAGTTATTTTATTGACATTATTTTGCCTAGTTTTGTTGCCTCTCCAAGAACATATTTGAGGCATCAAATGCCATTCTATGTAAAATGTGGAGGGTAATAACTTTTTTTAAAAGATGTGATACAAAATTAGAAAGGATGAATACTTGTCATACCATAGCAAGCATGTGACTGTATACACATAGTTTACGCCCAGCAAAATACAGCACAAAATGCGATGGCTCTCATAGAAATTAACTGTGTAGATGTACCAGGAATTGCAGCTTGTCAGGTTGTGACAGCACGATGTTTGTGGCTTCAGGGCCCTGCTGCCTTCGGATTCTGGCATAATTTGCCCTGACCTCCATCAGTTGCTTTAACTCTGTTAAAAAGATTATTTTGAGAGACATGTCATGTATTTATAGAAAGTAATTAAAAAGTCCAAGATGATGAAAACTCAAAGATCCCTCAGAAATCCTTGACTCCCACCCTGGACTCTCTCATTACACACTTGACTTGCTTATCACATCAGATACGTGTTAACATTCTTTGGATTTCTACAGAATGGCATTTCTGGAGAGGGCTTCCTTCCAGGCTTTGTACAAAGCCTGAATTGGGAGGCTAACCTGGGAGTGGTCTAGAAGTTGAACCCAGTGAAAAGACGGTAAACACAGTAGTGTGAACAGTGTTCTAATTCGATGACAAATGGCATAAAGCACTCTTTTAATTTTGTTGGGGGTTTCTGTGAAAGAAATCATTCTAACAGCATCTGATTTGTTTTGCCAAAACAAATCCATTTTTCAAAAACCCAGTGTGATCCTTTGATGACTGACTTTCACATGCTAAATGTTTTCACACTATAGTATATAAAATAAGTTATAGAGTGGTTAGTTTTGAAACTGCCAGCCTGCCCTATTTTCTACCTCATAGTTAAGCCAGTAGGTCACAGCAAAATTTTGAGTGGAATGATTAATTGTCCCTTTGTAAATAAATACATAAATACATGTGTGTGTACGTGTGTGCTAGTAGCCTTTCTCTCCTCTTTTTAAAAACATCCTGAATATTTAGATTTCTAATTAAAAATTATTTCTAATTTAATTATTCCAGGAGAAACAGTAAATGGCAACTCATATAGCGAAATAAATTTCTTTTTTTCTCTCTTTTTTTTTTAAAGATTTTATTTACTTGACAGAGAGAGAGTAGGCGGAGAGGCAAGCAGAGAGAGAGGAGGAAGCAGGCTCTCCGCCAAGCAGAGAGACCGATGTGGGGCTCAATTCCAGGACCCCAGGATCATGACCCGAGCCAAAGGCAGAGGCTTTAACCCACTGAGCCACCCAGGCACCCCGTGAAGCAAATTTCTAAAGAACAGCTTAAACTTTTCTATCAGTCAGATTTCCTAGAATACATATCACGCATGGAAAAGAACTTAAGACAACTGGGGAAAACCACTAACCTTTTCACCAGGAAGGTAACATGGGAACCTACATTCTGAGGAAAAGAATCGACTTTCACATCATAGTAATCCATGTGGTCACAGAACTGAAGATGTAAAAATAAACGTTTGTCTACACAGCCTTGTCCTTCGACCACAAAGCTAACATGGAAGAAAATGGTAGGGAAAGTAACATTTGCATTTCTTGTTTTCTCTCTCTCCTTCAGTATTTCTTGGTAACAAGCTTGCTTCTGGCAAGGGGGCCTACATTTCTCTCTGTGTTTTGGATATCCTTTTGGCCAGTTGCCTGAGGCATAGTTAGCTTTATTTATCAGAAAGGCCCAAAGAACACAATGAGGCCAGGAGGGTAGGGGCCAGGCAACAGAAGACCATCCCAAGAGTATAAAAGATTAAGCATAAATAATGAAGAAAATGGGAAAGTTCTTCCTACTGCACCACTTGTTTGTTTACTATTCAATTGTACTGCAATATTTCAAGTGTGTTCATATTCCTAATTAGATTGAAAACTCTTTGGGGGAAGGAATCTTGGCTTATATTTCTTTTATAAGGCTACATAGTTTGGGAACACAAAGACTGTCAACTAATACTCACTAATGATAAGAACCCCCAAATCGGTGTGTTCCTCTAAGTGTAATGAGGGTCACCAAGAGCTGGGGTGGTGGGTAATGGTGAGTGATGAGGACAACAGCCTAGAAAGAATACAAAGATTAGAGCCTCTTCCTTGATGTAGGATGGCACTGGAAGAATAGTTGTGGCATCCCTGACAGCAGTGCTAGACATCCCAATAAGTCCTTGTCTTCCTACATTTCAGTCTTTATTCCTATACTTTTGTTCTGGGCTAAATGTAAAGATATGATTGCAGCTGTTTTAAAGGTTCTGGTTTCTGTACCTTACATATAACACAGTAATAACAATTTTATGGTGACTTTTAAGAAGAAATAATCTAGTATTTGTTCTTTTAGGGATCCCAGGTGATTCACTTCCTAATCTTTTGATTTCTTTTAAAGTGATATCATGTTCTTCAGAATTCCTAAAAATTATGTCTTCATTAATGTATACCTACCCCCAGAAAGGGGCTTTAAATACCTCAGGCAAACAGGATAAAGGACAAAAGTTGGTTTAATAACAAATATATGTTCTTTTCCATTTCTATTACTTCTAAAATGAGCATATATATTCTTATTATTAAAAAAAGAAATCTGCAGGGGCACCTGGGTGGCTCGGTCAGTTAAGCCTTCTGACTTTGGCTAAAGTCATGATTCAGAGTCCTGGAATCAAGCCCCCCTTTAAGATCCCTGCTCAGCTTAGACTCTGCTTGTCCCTCTCCGTCTGCCCCTCCTCCCCCTGCTCATGCATAAATAAATAAATAAATAAAATCTTTAAAAAAATCTGCAAACTGTATAGTTGCAATTAATAAACCATTAAGTTTTAAATAACTTGAAAGTAGGAAGTCAACAGAGCCTCCTTTCCTCAGGGTTTATGCTAAGGGAACACATTCAAATGGGGCCATTTAGAATTTCTGAAAATAAGCCCCTTGGATAAGGCTCAAGGGTAACAGAACTTTGAATTCTTGAGTGCAAACAATGTCAACAGCACAAAAGTATATAAATTTAACTTTAGCAACACCGAGTAGAAAAGTGTGGAAGAAGGTAATTATTAAAAAGCATCACGATGGGATATAAAATTCAGAAAGCAAGCTCTTTAAAGAGAAGACTATTTTAATTCTTCAAAAACTCAATGGAAAAGAGACTGCCTCCCATACCTTTTTGGGTTATAAAGCCACGTCCTGTGGAAACGCAGATGACCATGTCTCGTTCTATGTCGTCCCATGAGTGAATTGGTTCTCCATCAGGTGTGTACAGTGTTGTGGCTGGGCGGACCATTTTAAGACGAGAGGAGCAGTCACTCAGCAGCTGAAACACAAAGGGACTGACGTTTTGGAACGTGAAATGTCACAACAATAATTAAGTCTTAAAGAATCAACTCCTTTAAGGGAGCTATTATCCCAGGTTGAATATTTATTTTACTTGTAATTTTTAGAAAGAGGTATAGAAGGAGCTGGAAGAAGAGCATATGAAATTTCCCCGAAGTGCTTTAACAATGAAGAACTTCAGTGCTCTTAGTGGATTTTTCCTTGTAGTTCTATTTCCATGTGGAAGAAGGCATCTTGCTATTAAAAAAATGCCTAAATATGAAAGACAATTGAGAATCTAGAGAGAATCTTGAGACTTGAGAATCTAAACTTGTCAAAATAGCAGAAAGTAATTTTGTTTGTTTCTTTGTTCCAAAAAGCAAGGAACCTGAAGGACAAAAGCACTGACCCAGAGATGGGGTGGCCTAGGCCTCTGGCTTCTCCATGACCTCAGACTAGTCAGGCAACTTCTCTATAAGAAGAGACCCTTCAACTATAAAGTCGAAGTTTTTATCTAAGACCTCTTTGATTCTATGATTAGGAAGTCTTTTTTTTCCCCCTTTTTAATTTGGAAAATTTAAAAACTATCTATAAGAGCCTTACTCAGTTTTTCTCAGTTTTCCCTGAAATATTCAAAAAAAAAATATATAGAGATACAAAGTGTTGTTAGGTCCCCCAATAATGGGTCCGTTATTAAAGGAGCGAGACTGATATAAAGCGAAGGTCAAGCAAAGCTTTATTCCGCGCCAAGCATCAAGAATCAGACTGAACGTTCGGGGCCACACCTCTTACAAGAGAGGGCGACCTTTCTCTGTTTCACAGACTAGCTTTTAAGGGCAAAGGCCATGTGGTTGGGCCTGGCCCCGCACAGGTGGCCAATGAGATTGTAACACACAGAGGAAACTCCACAGTGATGTTAGGTCACACATAAGTGACCAATTGAATTACAATTTACCCTATAGTAGACATTTGACCTAGCCTATCACCTTGGTTAGAATTGGCGCCCAAAAGGTGCCCAAAGGGCAGGGCCCATACTCCTTGGTAACTAGGGAGACAGTATGCATCCCCCCACTGATCGGATGTCTCCACCTGGCCTGACCCACCGTTGTATTTGGGCTGTTACCTGGGGCTGGTTTCCGGGACTTGTTTTTAAGTAAGTCCCCTGGGGGAAGGGGAGCAGGGACAGTTTAAGGGTTAAACAACAGGGTTATTGTTTAACCTTGATGGAAGCCTCTGAATAGGTCCTTACAGTGTCAACAGTACTAGAAAGATCAGTCAATATGTTGTCAGACCCCTAAAGGCAGTTCCATGAACGTGTGAATAAGACTTTAAGACAGAATAATAAAAGCCAGGAGGAGGAAAATTAGAGGTTTCTACACATTTGCCTATATGACTTTTTCCTCCCATATATGCCAAACGCCTGTTCCTCCAAAATGCAGGAACCACGTCGACAGGAACCACAAAGATAGATCTACTTAAAGGCTATGACTCACGAAAATGAGGCCTGGCAGGGGGCAGAACTGGGCACATAATGACACCTTGCATATGGAAAATGAATCAGCAATGTGAAGCAAGACAAGACAGTGATGAGACAATGTAATCAGAGAGTGCAGATTCCACCCACTACTCTGGGCAAGGGATGAGTGAATTGAATTGAGTAGAATTGAAATTACCCAAGAATACATTCCCTTCTGCAGATCGTCAGAGAAGAACAGTGGGAGAGTGGTCTCAGATCTAGCCCTAGCCATCCTGCTAGGTAACGGCCAGTCAGCAGCGGTCTGACTCCATACTGTGCATGTGAACCAGCATGCGGTCTGAAGATCCAGTAGAGGATCCTGACAGCTACCAAGTCAAAATTTAGGGCAACCAAAGAGAACTGATCGATCCTGTCTGTTTTCTGTCAAAAAATCTCTCCTTGTATAAGGAGGTATAGATAAAAAATTAACAGCAGCAACAATATGAGGCTTGTGAAAGTATTCTACAACATAAAAAGCTGTATGTTTTACACTGTATTCAAGGGGAAGAATCAGTAAAATATTTACAGCAGAAATACATTTTAGAGAATATCTGTATTGGGTTTTCCCAAAATCCAATAAAATATGGCTTCTGTAAACACAGACATGCGCATGCGCACAAAGGCCATGTGGTTTGATGAGATGACAGCAGTTTAAAGAAAAGAAGTATCACTGAGGCATGGGCAGACGTGATGATGACGATAGTGATGATGATGACGGGAACAATAACAGCAGTTAACATTTATTGACACATTTCTTTTCTTTTTTTTTAAGATTTTTTTATTTTTTATTTATTTGACAGGCAGAGATCACAAGTAAGCAGAGAGGCAGGCAGAGAGAGAGGAGGAAGCAGGCTCCCTGCTGAGCACAGAACCCGATGTGGGGCTCGATCCCAGGACCCTGGGATCATGACCCGAGCCGAAGGCAGAGGCTTTAACCCACTGAGCCACCCAGGCCCCCCTACTGACACATTTCTATGGGATAGAAACTTTTCTAAAAGTTTCCAAGTTTCCAAGGACAATCTGATTTCATTCTCTGGAAAGACTTATTATCTCCATTTTATTGATGATGAAATTGGAGAACAGAGATTAAATTTCTTAACCCAGGTCACACAGCTAGTAAGAGAAGGAACAGGGTTTCCAACTGGGATGAATAGAGAGCTAAATGAAAAGAGGAGAGAAGGTAAGGAAATAAAAGACTCAATAGTACAATTAAAATCTCTCTTGAAAGCAGAAAACGAGCAGACTGAATATTGTAGAAAATCAAATCAGTATTAGGGAGGACTAAGTGGAGAAAATCTCAAAGGATATAAAGAAAGCATAAGACATAAATTTTAGGAGAGAAAGGTTAAACATCTGGAATGTCAAGACATCAGATATTAAACCTATACATTATTGGTGTTACTGGAGAGGAATTCAGAATAAATTAAACTTAAGCAACTATTAAAAAAAATTGAAGGAAATTTTTCTGTCCCAACAAAGACCCATATTTTCAGATCAAATGGGCTAACTTAGGACAAGGCAAAGTTAATAAAAAAATGACTAACACTTAAATATAATTGAGTTGAAAAGTCTGAATTTCAGACATGGGGGGAAAATTCAGTTATATTTAGACCTTTTTTTCTGCAAAAATGAATGCCAAAGAAAATGGAATAAAATACGAAGTTTTTAGGAGAAAAGTTTTTAATGTAAGAATTCTGTATCCAGCTGAATTTTTACTTTTTGTTTCAGGCAACAAAAGATATCCTAATGTATACAAAGCTCACAAAACATATCACCTACATACATTTCAGATTATTAAGAAATGAATGAAATTCCTTTACTATGGGAAAGTCATAATATGAAATGACTAATAGTAAGCAGTGAGACCACAAGAACATGAGATATAACTGCTATAAAAAAGTGGTCAGAAAATAAATGAATTAACAATTTTAAAGTCTTCACAGAGAAAAAAATGAAGTAAAAATGCAAAGCATCAAAGGGACATGGGCAAGGAAGAGAAAACAAAGCATTCCAACTTTCTAGTTATCCATGAGATCAAAAGATGCTGTTTTTTTGGTTTTCCTTTGTTAAGAACATTTATTTTTATGATTATAACCAATGCAATAAAACCTAAAATCAGAATAAGTGAAGTAGTTCATCTGTAGGAATAAACAAAATCATGTGAACTTAATATGATTTTATTCTTAGAAAATTTATGTGAATCGAGTAAGATATTAATAATGAGAGAAAAATGCTTAATAAAATGGCCAAGCATAAAATAAATTATAAAACACTGATAGTTTTTTTGTTCACAAAAATAGGCGTTTAGAAAATAGAGTTGAAAATCCATCCTAACAAAAAACAAATTAGGAATGACAATTATTTTAAAATGTGCGATGCAGGGCTCCTGGGTGGCTCAGTTGGTTAAGGCTCTGACTCTTGATTTCAGCTCGGGTCATGATCTCAGGATCCTGAGATCAAGCCCCACGTGGAGCTCCCCCGCTCAGTGTGGAGTCTGCTTGAGATTTTCTCTTTCTCCCTCTCCCTCTGCCCCTGCCCTACTCACCCCCATGCACTCTCTTTCTCTCTTTTTCTCTCCCTCTAAAATAAAAAAATAAATCTTTTTAAAAAATTACAAAAGTTTACTGAAGGACAAAAAAAGCATATATATGTATATATACATATATATAGACACACAAACACATAAGAAACAATGCCACAGAATTCAGTCAGGCTGCAAAGATTGAATATCATGAAAGGTGTTGATTTTTATGAAATTTATTAATAGCCTAATACAATTACAGTCAAAACACCTGCAGGATGATTTTTAGGTGTTGAAATGTAATTCCAAAATTCATCTATAAGCATCAACATGTAAGGATATTCAAGTAAAATCTGAAAACAAAGTACAATAGGCAATTTCTATCAGATAGCAAAATATAAAGCTATAATAATTCAAGAAGTGTTAGATACATTAGATTTTTTAGGAGCAGAAGCTAATTAAGAATTTATCATATTATAACATTTGTAGTCCAGTTCAGCTGGGATTAGTCAGTAAGTAGGGCTGAGATAATAATTTTAAGCCAACAAATAAAGCAGACAAGTAGCTTCAGTCAAATTTTACAGAAGAAGAGAGTTTCACACAGTTTAAAAAGTAAACGAAAAAGGCAAAATTATAAAAAATTTGAAGAAAATCTGATGACTCTTCATATGACTTCAGGATAGTAAAAGACTATCAGAACACTTAAAAGCAAAGAACAAACTTTTAAAATACATTAACTTCTATACATTAAAAAAACCATAGACAAAATTGCAGATTTGTTACAATAAACCTAATAAAATTACATGTAACAGTCTTATTGCTTTAAAAAAAGAAAATTCGTATCAGTGTGAAAACTATGTCCAATAGAAAAATAGCAAAGGATTTAACAAGAAATTCACAGATAACTGATAAATGATAAATCAAGTCAAGTCAAGTCAAATCAAATCGAAATCACTTATAAAAG